CAGGAAGGAGGAAAGGACAGAAGAACATAGCTCCTTTCCTTCATAAGAAACCTCCTAGAAATTGCATGTATCACCTCTGGCTATAGCTTACTAACCAGAATTTGGTCACATGGCCATACCTGGCTACGCATTAGCTAGGACTTCCAGTACAGTGTTGAAAAGGAGTGGTAAGAGGAGACATCCTTGCCTTATTCCTGATGTTAATGAGAAAGCTTCTAGTTTCTCACCATTAAGTATGATGTTAGCTATAGGGTTGTTGTTGGCTTTTTTTTTTTTTTACATGCTCTTTATCCAGTTGAGGAAGTTCCTATCCTTAGTTTGCTCAGAGTTTTTATCAAGAATGACTGTTAGATTTTGTCAAACACCTTTTCTGCATCTGTTGATATGAGCATGTGACTTTTTTCTTCTGATTTTTCTTCTTCAGCCAGTTGATGAGATGGATTACATCAATTGATTTTCAGATGTTATGTATCTGGGATAAATCTACTTGGTTGCAGTGTATAGTTCTTTTTTACACTGTTGAATTCAATTTGCTATTATTTTGTTGAGGATTTTGCATCTGTGTTAATGAGAGATACCGGTCTATAGTTTTCTTGCAATATCTTTGTCTGGTTTTGGTGTTAGGGTAATGCTGACCTCATATAATGAGTTAGGAGGTATTCCCTCTGCTCCTGTTTTCTGAGAGAGATTGTAGAGAATTGGTATAATTTCTTCCTTAAATGTCCAGTATGTTTTTATGAAAATTTCACCATACAGAGATGTGAGCCCCAGAGATAGGTGTCAGCCTCAGTCCTTGGGTGACTGGGCAACCTTAAAGCACTTACTTAAGTGCCTTGAACTTATTTTCCTTTTCTTTAAAATAGGGATAATACCACTTCCGTATAATGGTGTCCAAGGTTGTACAGACCTAGCACTGCCTAGCCTGCAGTGAGCACTTAATAAATAGGAGCAGTTTGTTTTACTTTTTTACTACACCAGAGTGACATTGTATGTTGACTTGTTGAAGGCACCATTTCTTATATACCTTTGGAGGATAAGGGTGGATGATTCCTAATTTCTTTTCTTTTCTTTTTTTTTAAGATTTTATTTATTTATTTGACAGAGACACAGCAAGAGAGGGAATACAAGCGGGGGGTGGGGGGTGGGGGGAGAGGGAGAAGCTGGCTTCCAAATGAGCAGGGAGCCCAATGCGGGGCTCGATCTCAGGACCCTGGGATCATGACCTGAGCCGAAGGCAGACGCTTAACGACTGAGCCACCCAGGCGCTCCTCTTTTCTTTCTTGCTTTCTTGGCTTTAAGGATAGCTTAATCATATTTTGTAGCTTTTTTTTTTTTTTTAAACTTGGTGGCAAAAAATTCATTAAGGAACCTCAAAAACTAACTACTACTCTGGTGTGTCTAAGGGTCGGAGATACTCTATATGGAATGTGTTTAAACATTGACCCCAGTGGGTCTCTGTAAAGTGCAGTTATCCAATCACTTGATCAGAGTGTGCCCTGTGCATTGCTTTCTTTTTTCTTTGACCTTGGGCTGATTCGTATAACACATAGCACTGTAGCCCATTAAGTGGGATTTGCCTTGCCCTGGACTCTGGCAGGACAGAAACCATAGGTTCTAAGGTGAGGATTGCTAGTCCTCAGTGCTGGGGGTGTCCCCTCTCTGGTTCCCTCCCACTTTGGGAAATACCTTATCCTCTGATTTGTTGCCAGTGAGTTTTTGCTCTAACCCCAGTGTGGAGATGAGCAGTGTGGTGATTTAAGAAAGATCCTGATGGGTAATGGTGGTGTTGCAAGGAGGAGGGCAAGTCAAGCAGATTGCAGATATGTTCTGGGTGGAACCACAGGCCAGGTGGAACTTTGCACATGCATACAAAAATGGAGGTGAAAAGTTTTTTTTTTTTTTTAATTTTTTGTGTAATCTCTACACCCAGCATGGGGCTCAAACTCATAACCCCAGGGGTGACTGGGTGGTTTAGTCAGTTAACTGTCTGCCTTTGGCTCAGGTCATGATCCCAGGATCCTCAGCAGGGTATCTGTTTCTCCTTCTCTCTCTACCCCTCCTTCCACTCATGCTCTCTCGTGCTTGCTGTCTCTCAGCTCTTTTAATAAATAAATAAGAATCTTAAAAAAAAAAAAAACCAACCAAACTCACGACCCCAAGATCGAGTCAGATGCTCTACTGACTGAGCCAGCCAGGTGCCCCTTTTTAGGTTTTTATTTAAATTCCAGTTAGTTAACATGCACTGTAGTATTCGTTTCAGGTATACAGTATCATGATTCAGCCCTTCCATGCATCACCAGGCGCTCATGACAAGTACATTCTTTAATCCCCATCACCTACTTCACCCGTCCCCCCACCCTGAAAAGCATTTTTATTTGCGCTTAATTTGTGATAATGGCACATTTGTGGCAGGAGGGTGTGAAACCAGTTCCCCAGAGTTGAGTGTGTCCCCACAGTTGAGTAGGAGTAGGAGACTCCAGAGCTGTGGGGTATGAAATACAGCAGGCGTCCCACTGCGGTTGGGGAGGCCAGAGGGGGAACAGTAGGGGGAGCACCTGTTCATCCTGTTTGCCGTACCCGGGGACTTCAGGAATCAGATGTACAGTACCTCCTGCCTTCTGCCACTGCGACATCTTCCTTCACCACCTCCGTTTCTCAGAAAGCAGCTGGGCACAGTTCGGCAACACAGAGAGCAGTAGTGATTATTTGAGAAGGTACATACTTCATTTCAGACCAGATAACTTTTATCAGCCTCGATAATTTCCGTGAGTTCTGAAATAGACTTGGCACACCAGGCAGGGTGTCTGCTTATAGTCTAGCAGTGGGGGTGCAGAATTGCCTGGTTCTGAACTGCATTTGCATTTTACACTAGGGCTATGGTCCTGGAGAGTACTTTTTTTTTTTTTAATTTTTTTTAAAGATCTTTTTTATTTATTTGACAGAGAGAGATACAGCGAGAGAGGGAACACAAGCAGCGGGAGTGGGAGAGGGAGAAGCAGGCTTCCCTGCTGAGCAGGGAGCCCGATGCGGGGCTCGATCCCAGGACCCTGGGATCATGACCTGAGCCGAAAACAGACGCTTAACGACTGAGCCACCCAGGCGCCCCTGGAGAGTACTTTTAATATGTAGAAGTCAGGAAGAACTAATTGGAGTGTGTTCAGGTCTTTCATTGGGTTCCATTTGGAAGGCTGTGGTTTAGAGGACGCTGTATGTTCAAGTCCCAGTCTCCCCAGGTATCAAATGGAGACAACACCAAACTTGCAGAGGCGTATCGCGGTTCCTCCTTCTTCTTGGATGTCCCTATCTATCCAGCCAGTGTGCAGTGAGGCCCAAGTGGGGTTGTACCTCATATCATTGTAGCAATCTGTTTCCCCTGTTCACTCCCTACAGCTAAATCCAAGTCCCCAGAATGGTGCCCTAATCACCAATCAGGGAGGGAACAATTTATTTTAAAGCTCAGTGATTCATTTCACAAATATTTTTTGGGCATCTCGTACACGCCAGGTGCTGTGATGGGTGCTGAGGATACAAAGATGAGTAACCCACCACCCGGGAGGTCACACTGAACTAGCAGAGACAGATGTATATACCCTGGTGGTTACAGTGTAGAAATTGCAGAGATGGGCAGAGAAATTATGTGAGGTTGGAGGAAGAGTACCTCTCTTGGCTTGGGGTGTTTGTTGTGGGGCAGAGTTAGAGTGGAAGAGGAATTTGGGTAAAGGAAACAAGCTTGAATAAAGACGTGGAGTGAAGACACATCATGGTATCTTTGGAGAAGGCAGTTGGGGTTGCTGGAGTGAGGTGGGGTGAGGCTGGAGACAGAGGAAGGGGCTGATTAAGAAAGACCTTGTGTGCCTGGTTAGGGAGCTTGGGCTCTATTCACAGGCCAGCAGTCCTTAAGGGACAGGACACACCGGCAGAGATGGGAGGGGCAGGCGTTCGCATTGCGAGTGACCATCCCATTGAGCACCCTGGGTGAGGTGGACGGTGCTTGCATGGAAGGTGACTTGGAGTGCTGGACACCAGAGTCTCCTTTTAGGAAGACTAGAGACAGTTGTCTAGAGACAGGCGATGAGGACCACAGGAGGTAGAGATGGGCGGGAATGGATGTTAGGATTTAAGTTGTGATTATTAGAGGAAGGCAGAATGAGGAAGCAGGAGCCAAGAGTGATCAGGGTTCTACTTTTTCTATTTGAGGCTCTACTCATATGCTTCTCCCTTTCTTGGGAGGATTGTTTTCTGATCTCTGGCCCCAACTTTGCTATACAACTCTGGCCCCAATTGCCCCTGCTCGTTACATCTTGTTTTGTATTGTTCTTAAGTTTGTTTTGCTCTCTCTAAGAAGGGGGGGGAGGTTGGTTAAAGGTAAGGGACTGTATCTTATACTTTTTTGGTGCAATTTTAGTTGTTAAATATTATTTATGCAGGGCGCCTGGGTGGCTCAGTTGGTTAAGCGACTGCCTTCGGCTCAGGTCATGATCCTGGAGTCCTGGGATCGAGTCCCACATCGGGCTCCCTGCTCAGCAGGGGGTCTGCTTCCCCCTCTGCCCTCTTCCCTCTCGTGCTCTCTGTCTCTCATTCTCTCTCTCTCTCAAATAAATAAATAAAATCTTAAAAAAATATATTATTTATGCATACTATGATTGGGCTTTAGGCAATTTATTCCATTTATTTCTGGTTTTCTTCTAGGAGAGGATGAAAGAATTGAACACAGATGTCAAACGGGAGGTTTCCTCCATCCGGAGGAATACGTTTGTGGACTTGTGTGTCTAAAAGGGAATTTAAATAATTAAATACATATCAAAATCATCTAAAAGGAATTTAGAGATTGGGGTTTTAGAATAGGCTAAGCTTTTTTGCCATTGAGTTCTGGAAACAACTTACCTGGAGAGGTTCCTCTGGTGGATTGGCAGTGGCTTGATCATCTAGGATAATTAATTTAACTGTAGCATAATTCATTGCTGTTTCTGAGGGGTTTGTGTTTGTGCTTCCCTCTGCAGGTCCGGAGCCCAGTACCCAGTGTGAGTTGTCGCCCGTCAATGCCTCCCATCCGGTGCAGGCCTTGATGGAGAGCTTCACCGTCTTGTCAGGGTGTGCCAGCAGAGGGACAACGGGGCTGCCGCAGGAGGTGCACGTCCTGAACCTCCGTGCTGCTGACGCGGGGCTCAGCCAGCCCCAGAAAGAGGTAGGCACAGGTCCCAGCTTTCTACTTACTGCCCCTCTGAGCTTGTAAAGACACTTCTCTGAAAAAAGAGGCCTTTTTTTTTTTTTTCCATCCTGAGTTTAACAAGGATGCTCATGTTATGTAAGTGGGGAGGGGGACACAATGTACACTCAAGAGAAGGATTTCATATAACAGATTGCTCTCTGGACCAGGCAACTCTAGGACTTCTTTCTGGAGAGATTTTTCAGCTTCGTAACTTTCCTGACTTCCCATATTGGAAAGAATGTTCTTAAGGATTTCATCTTTGAAACATGGCTGTGAAAAAACAAAATAGGTGCCATTTTTCTGTAACTGTAAAAGATCTTTCTCATCCTCTCCTGTGACCTTTCTTCTTTCTTTGCTTTGTCTTATGAACCTGTTGCTCCTGCAGGATGAGTCGATGGAAATGGGAAACATTCGAGTAAAGAGGGCAGTACTTTGTACTTGCCTGAAAAGCCCTGGAGGTTAGCTCCTTATGCCATCTGGGCAGCTTCTCGAAGATAGCGATGGTCTAGGTGGTGGTGATGGTGATGAGCCAAGCTCATAGTGCCTTGGTATTTCACCTGTCCTCAGCACTATTTGAAGCATTCATACACTTACTCCACGAAGTCCTGTTATTATCCTCATTTTACAGGTGACAGACAGGTGCAGAAATAACTCACTTTCACAAGGTCATCACAGTAAGAGAAAAGTGGCCTTCTCTTTCCTGTGGCTCAGAAATGACCTAGATTGTGGGTAACGGTCATCGTACTTCTTTTAAGATTACATGCAGTTGTCATTCTTTCTATTTTTAAGCTTCTGTGTCTCAGAAATGTTATCAATCAGGTATTCCCTCTCCAGGGAGAGAGAAACCACAATAAATCCTGATCGCAGCGAAGTGTAGGTTAACTAATGCCAAATGGAATTTATCTTTGAGTTTTCTTCTGGTCAGGGAAGTTAATTTCCAGAACTGTTTGTTTATGTGCCTTCACTACTCTGCCTTTTGGGGGGAGTAGGAGTAGGAGAGGTGAGGTGTCCAGAAGGAAAAGCAAACTGATTTTAATCTCGTGAAAGTGTGCAGAGTTGGCTCGTTTCAAAGACAAATCATCTAACCTTTTCAGCTCCATTGGAAATTATTGTTAATACTTTTGGTTGCTTGCCATGGTTGCAGCAATGCCTCTTGCAGGGCAGATTTCTTTATCCTGGTAACATGTCTTTAATTCTTAAAGTACAGGGGAGACTTTGTGGTGGGAGGGAAAGGAGGAGGAGGAAATGCAGTTCCTATGAAGCGTTGCTGACTCCAGCAATTCTTTAGCAGCAATAATTACTCATTTTATATGTGCTTTCTCAGAGGAACTAAGAAGGAAAGGAAAAGTTCGAGCTATTACAGAAGCAGCAACAACAGACATTCTGGATGTTAAATTGTGCGTTATTGTCGTTGACTGTGACAGTAGATTCAAATAAGACTATCGAAGCAAAAGAAAAATACCTCTAGGAATGACCACTGAGTTCTCCCACACTTGCATTTCGGTGTTAGATTAAAACGTTCACGCAGTCCACAGGATACATCAAACTAGCCGGCATCTGGGGACATGGTATGTTCAGTGAGGGAGTAAAGAGATAGGGCCTAGAGGGCATAGTCTCTAAAATTTGCTTAAAAACCTAAACATTTTTCTTCTTTCTTCAGTATTCATATCGTATAGGTATGATTTGGGGTTAGTGATTTGAAGATATTTCCGAGACTGGGCACCTGAGGGCAATTGCATTCTTTCTTCCTTTGGGGACTTTCTAAGAATTAGATGGTTGTAGTTCAATCCTGTTTGAAAACAAGATGTTGGGATATGTGATCTTTGGAAATTCCATCTGGCTCTGAGCTGCCCTTGTATAGTAGACTTTGGACTATTTTATGTATAGAGAGTGAGTGTAGAGGATAACATGAGCATTTGGGCCACAAGAGAATGAAAAGAGAAGCAAAGAGAGATTGTTTATGGATGGTAAGATGGGGTGGAGAAATATTAAATCTCTCTCACCTTCTTCATGAATGACTGTGCAGCCATGCAGTTTTTAAAATCATTTGAACTACGTGACCCAGCAATTCCACTTTCCTAACTGTATACCCAAGAGAAGTGATAACCTATGTCCACACAAAAACTTGTCCGTGGATGCTCATGGCAGCGTTACTCATATTAGTTAAAAAGTGGAAACAACCTGAATGTCCATCTACTGATGAATGGGTAAATAAAATGTGGTCTGTCCACACAGTGAAATATTACTCAGCAATAAGAAGGAATGAAATACTGACGCATGCTGCTTCCTGGAGGAACCTCGAAGACATGATGCTAAGTGACAGAAGACAAGGCAGAAAACAAAAGGCCACATATTATATGAATCCATTTGTATGAAATGTCCAGAAAAGACAGATTTATAGAGATAGAAAGCGAGTTAGCGGTTGCTTAGGGCTGAAGGGCAAAAGAGAGAAGTGGGGGTTGACTGCTAATGAGTACGAGGTTTCTTTGGGAGGGACAGAAATATTCTAAAATTAAATTGTGGTGATGGTCCCCCCATTGAATATGAATATGCTAAACACCGTTGATAAATGTGAATATATTAAAAACCACTGGATTGCATTTTAAATGGGTGGATTTTATGGTATGTGAATTTTATCTCAGTAAAGCTGTTTTTTTTTAATTTTTTTTTTTTAAGATTTTATTTATTTATTTGACAGAGACACAGCGAGAGAGGGAACACAAGCAGGGGGAGTGGGAGAGGGAGAAGCAGGCTCCCTGCAGAGCAGGGAGCCTGATGCGGGACTCGATCCCAGGACCCTGGGACCATGACCTGAGCTGAAGGCAGTCGCTCAACCAACTGAGCCACCCAGGCACCCTTTTTAAAAATTTTTAAAAAAGATTTTATTTATTTATTTGAAAGAGAGAGCAAGAGAGTACAAGCAGGGGGAGCAGTGGGAGAGGGAGAAGCAGGCTCCCCGCTGAGCAGGGAGCCTGATGCGGGGCTCGATCCCAGGACTCTGGGATCATGACCTGAGCTGAAGGCGGACGCTTAACTGACTGAGCCACCCAGACACCCCAGTAAAGCTGTTTAAAAGACTGTAATACAACCTGCTAGTATTCTAAATTAGCCAATAAAGTTTATCTTGACTGTATTCACTTTTTTTTTAAACCAAGATTGCTTCGTCTTCCAACCTGCTTTTTCTGTTGTTCTCAGTGGATAACTTGGTTTTTGTAGATAATGCTATGACATGGTCTGTGCTAAAAATCACAGCTGATCTGTTTTGGGGGTGATAGTGGGAGGACCAGAGGTAGCCTTTCTGTATGCCTCTACTGAATATTAAAGGCAAATATTTTTCAAAATGAAACGAAGTAATTGCTTACAAATTAGCAAAAAGAATGCCATATTGGCTCCCAGGTATAATTAACTTTGACTCTGGTGACCAAGGTAGTTGTTTTTCACCATGTCCTCCTTAAATGGGAGGGAATTACTAAATCAACCCTCTTTCCCCCAGCTTGTTACTGGTGCAGGATCAGCAGTAAGATCTATTGTAAATCAACCCTTCTCTAACATTTTGCTAAATTCCTACCTCTCAGGAGTCTTAAGGTTCTAAAGCTGAGGAGAGGCTGCTGCTTTTCCTGTGTGGAGGAGGTGACAGATCCTACACTTGGAAGTAATAACCACAGCAGGTTGACAAGATTTGGGGAAACAGTCGCGCTTAAGTTAGATAAACAATTTTATGGGCCAGCAGAGAATTTGGATCAGAAACAGCGCTTGTTACAGTAATGTATCCAAAGCCTTCTGTAGCAAAGCACCGGTTTGCCATTGGCCTCCCCGCTGGGTTCCCCTCAGGACAGCATAGAGACCTATAATTGTATTTTTCATCTGAGACCACACCTCTCATTTGTAATCATCGGTTTTGGAAACAACAGGCCTGGAAGTGAACAGGAAACTTGAAAAAGACTCTCTGGCGACAGAGAAGGGCAGAAGACAGTAAACAGCCCCGAGAGATCAGTTCTGTCTTTTAGAATAAGCAGGCACTGGTGTCATCATTTTGATCCTATAAAAACCAGCTCCTCTTGCTCTTTGACTTCAAAGTAAAATGCACCCCCAACCCCCATCAGAGTTTGGGCCTTCAGGGTGTTTCCTGATTCCTGAGAGGAGTTATAGCACCACCAGAGGTTTGTTTACTGTAACATACTTTCATTAGTTGCTGGAATGGCAACAATTTTGTTTCCTACCTAATTTTTTTTGCGACCTGCTTTTATGTGGTGATGTGTCTTTTCTATTTCCGACTTATCTAATTGCCTGTTTACAAGGAAAAGCTGCTGCGGGTAAGCCCCTAGTCAGCATTACCTACGTGCGTAAAGGACATGGTGTTTAAATTTATGTATTTGTCCTGACATTAAAGCAGCAACTGTTAATGGACGTGCCAGTAACTGGCTGTCTGGAGGGAAGTTCTGGAAGGCTCCATTGTCATGGGAAAGGGACCAGGTTTACTAATTCAGAGCCCTTCCTACTTCCATGTATTTGCTTATTCTCTGCCTCATTCTAAAGCAAGACATCTCAACAGTATAAGCAGAACTGCAGAATGAGGACAAAGAAAAAAGAAAAGCACCGTTGTGAGCTGTATGGGTTAATGTGGTTGGTACGACTGACGATGAAATTTGGATCCACGCTTCTTGGCAGGCAGGGCCAGATGGGATGTGTGGTTAATCACACATGTGGCTCAAAGTCACTTTTACTTTGTACCTTCTCGAGGACCGTGGCATACAGTTGTTCCTTTCCTGCTTCTTTTGAGGGCAGGAAAAACCACAGTTGGGAGAACGAGAAGGAAGTTCACTTATCTATCTGAAATGCTAACTCTTCTGCTTGCCTCTTAACAATTCCCTTGCCCACAAAGTTACTTGGTTACGAGGCTTAGGGAGGCAGTGGATGCTGGCTCTTTTGGACTCTGCGGTCCAAGCTGTCCCTGCATTTCCAGTCCACTTCCTTTC